ATTTATTTATTATGTAAACCAAATAATACCCTAATTAAAATTCATGTCAATAATATTTTTATCAAATTTTGTTAATCAGTTTTGGGTTGAAACCAAATTAAAGCCAACTGTAGCCCTACTGGATGGAACCGTGTTTTGGTTTTTTTTTGTTATGACTAATATTTCCCCTTCCAATTTCGTATATTTAGTTGTACATAATTAACTCCTGTCACAGGATACGGGAAGCCTGAAGAGTCTCGGAACCTATGTCAAGACGGCCAATTTCAGGATTTAAAAGTAAGTTGCTGTATACAGTGGATTCTTGTGTAGATTACAAATCAGTCCAAGTTTGACAAACTTGTGTAGGGTTAGCCATGATGCACCTCTTCTACCTGGGCTTCTTGTTACTTTTCAGGCTAAGCTCAGTTTGAAGCCGTTTAGTGGTGATAGTGTGATCAATAAGGCGTCAACATTTGAGGATTTCCAAGTAAGTTTTCTCATAACTGTTAATAAATCTTGCTGTTTTTGTGGTAAGTTATTTGGTTCCGTGTCTGTGCTTTAGCTCTAAGTCACACGACTTCTTACCCTATGCAAAAAAAAAAAAAAAACGGTATTGTTATCATCACGGCTGCTAGTGGAGCGCATCTGAGCCAGAGCTGTAATGCGGTCCCGTCCGGGTCCAGCGTCCGGGTCCGTCCGCGCGCCACTGGCAGGCAGACAGACACATCTGGGCTCGGCTCGCCTCGCTCGCATTGACGCGCCGACGCGCTGGGCCGGACCCGGGTTCAGTCCGGGTCAGCATCGACACTGTTAAAAAAATTTCTCTTAAATTTAATAACATTTTTGTGAAGCATTAACACTAACATTGTTATTAAATTTAATAACAAAAATGTTATGAAAAGTCATAACATTTATGTTATGAAATTTCATAACATATGTTGTGAAAAGTAACAACATGAGATTGTGAGAGTTTCGAATCGTTCAAAGAAGTTCCGGGGATTGATCTGTATATATACTTGCATTGTAAGTGACACCATCAAATTAGACAGTTGACAGTTATTAAAAATTACTGTGCCTGATGCTTCCTTTTCTTTCGAAAGGACAAGCACAACTCGAGGGCGACGGGTCAGCACCCTAGGTGAGAGGCCGTTGTATATTATCAGCGCGAGCTAAATGTTACTAAGCGACAACGCCATACTATGTGT